TATAATTTATTTAATATATTAAGTTACAAAAACTCAGTGTTATTATTGTATGGCCGGAGATGTTTGTACTTCGGCGGTAAAAGCTAGACTAGTTAAAGGTTTAGGTACCATACATGATTCAGGTATGCGTTTATTTTATCTTTAACTTTGGCAACGTCGTATTTTGAAAAATATACATGTGACAACGTTGCCTTCAAAAATGTTATTTTTGAGTAGAAAAAAAGGGATCTGACAATTCGTGCGGCCGAGTGGTAGGTAACCATTCAGATACAATTTCTTAAAAGCAATTAGGATTAATCCTCACTATCTCTCGACCCTTGCAATAAAAAAGGCAAATGTAAATTCGGTCGTCTGTTTCGAATTATAGCAATAAACCGATAGTTTTGACGAAATATTTATTTTCCAGAAAAATCAACATAATAAATTTATGAACCTTCAGAATTTGGAAACTTAAAACGTTATATTACCCTTGAGTTAAAAATTAGTTTTTTTACAATCAATTTAGTTTTATAAAAAAATATATTTTGACTAAATAAATAATAATATGTGAATCTTAAACTATTTTTAATGATAGCGACGTAACAATATATATTAAAGTTTTATATTGTCTCTTAAGACTTAAGTCGCAGATGAAGGTTGTTTAAAGGAAGACTGATTTAAGTTTAATACAGTAAGAAAACCCAAATGTTGAATTTTAAACATGTTTAAATAAAGTAAGAAATGAATAACAATTAATTTTATTTTGTTTTTCCTCATCAAAAAACTTAAGTAAATTTGTTTTAAAATTTTTGCCAAAAGTCGATTATTATAGTCGAAAACCGAATATTTATGACGATTATCAACTGCTATTCGACTACACTGTGTTCGACTATTTGAAAAGTCGATAATCGAATATTTTTCTCGGTTATATATCTGCCCAGAAATAGCGAAGAAGTCCGAGCTAGAACGAAGTGTCTAGTGTGATGATGCCAGCCGAGACACCAAAACATACTTGTCAAAATCAGTATTAAATCTTATTTTCTTTTTATGTTAATTTCGAATTATATATTGTATCATTTATATTTAGAATGGCGATATTATGTAATATAGTTTACAAGTAATGAAGCGAAACTTATAATTTTATATTAAAACAATGGAATATATTTTTTCATTATATTTGTGTAACCTTGTTTAATAAAAATTATAATAATACAAGATTGTGTGTTATAAAAACAAGTAACAACTGTATTTTTAATAACAAATTAGATTCAAATATAGTATAATATAATATTATTATCACATCACATCATATAATTTTCAAATTTACTTAAATGGGTATCTGTTAAAAACTAATTTAATATTTATATTCACATTAAATAATATATATTAATGTTTCTATCGTAATCAATATAATATTTCCATTTAATATATAATTTTTATTGATGATAATGAATATTTCTCGAGTAATACATATTAAGATTGAAAAGGACAATCAAAGCTTATTTCCCCTGAGCTCGTCCGAAGTTAAATTTCAATAGAATGATTACACAACGCAGTGACTGGCAATCAAGCCGGCAGTCGCAGTCCCTCTAGAAATTTTAGGTAATCGCGTAGTGATCCCTACAGGTAATCGCATGGTGGTCCTGGTAATCCCAAACAAATATCGAGAAATATTAGAATTCAACATAAAGATCTGATACAGATTACCGTTAGCGATTAATAAAGTGAATTTCCCCTCGCTTTTAAACTATTTATACTAATTGTGTTGTGAAAACACCTTTAATCATCGTTAGTTGTTCCTGTCCAGTTTCATCTACGAAAATCATATTCAAGACCATCTATTCTTGTAACATTGATATTGTAAATGAACCTTTAATCAGTTTTAAAATTCCTGCGTGTTACAGGAATTATTTTGGTGACAGCGGTGGGATAATCTCAACTTGTTGAGGGTTCCTAAATGACTATATCATACATTAAATAAGAAAGAGAATGTCGTTTAAAAAGGAAAGAAGAAACCATAAATGAATCCAAGAAAACTAAATTGAATTCGCTAATAATAATAATACGTATAAAGTTATTCATCTTAATGTTGGCAAAAACTGATAATTAAGAAAATCCGAATTGTACGAGAAGCTGAGTAAAAAACTCCCCAAGGACATCAGTAGAAAGAGGAAGATCATCTAAAAATAGAATATTGATTACTGAAAAAGATCAAGGACAAGGAAGAAGGAATCCACGAAAAACGGCAAGAGTTGACAGTAACAAACAAAGTGTGGAAACCAAAGTGAAAATAGTCCAAAGGTTAAGTCGATTCATTTCTATGATTCTCTCTCTATAGTAAACGAAATAAAAAAAATAAAAAAATTTTATTAGTAAAAATCTCAGTGCTAAGTCGTTTTTTTTGTTGTTGTTATTTACAATTGAAAAAGAAATAAATTTTTTTTGTTTAAAGGGATATATGGCTCATTTCATTTAATTATCATATTCAACTTCCAGAAAAGTTGAGTTGGAAAATTTTGATTTTAAGGTTGAAACTAATTTTTTTATACAGTTTAACATGTTAAATTAACAAAATAAATAGTGGTCACAAAATTAAAGTCATATATTTCTTATGGCAGACGGTTTTTTTGGCAGAAATCGTCATATCTTATAAAAATTTTTTTCTGTCAATTTTTGATAAAATAATAATACTAAAAATAATTTGATTTGACTAGTAATAAATATACTGAAGTTTTTGGGGTCGCTGAATTCGAATTTGAAGTCAGATTTAAAATATTCAAAATGACTGATCCAAAATGGCGACCATGAAAATTTAGAAGTTGATTCGATTCGCTTGAAACTCGTTACTTAGGGGTTTTTTGTGTTGATAATTACAAATATGACGTCAGATTTTCAAAATTTAAAATGGTGGATCCAATATGGCGACCCAATATGGCGGATAATTTCAAGACTGATGCGATTCGGTCGAAATTTGTTTCTTGGGGGTTTTCGGGGTCGCTGAATTCGAATTTGATGACAGATGAACCCAAAAATCTTAAATACGATGAAATCAAATTTTTTTGAAAGCTCTGTTTGGAACCTTATTTGGCCAATAAGTGATTTTTAACTGAACTGCGAAGAGGTTAATAATTATATAGGCAAAATGCAAAATTTATATCTTTAAACATTATGAACATAAAACAAATAAACATCTATTCATTTCGGCAAAAGAATTAAAATAAAAATTTTTTGGGGGTGGGTTATAACCCCATTTTATGGAAAAAATTAGGGGGGTGGGTTGCGTGTACGGGTCATGTAGTACACGATTTATGCTATAATTTAAAACAATTTTAAAGTTTTTACCACATAAGGTTAAAGAGAAAAATCATATTAAACCCATAAAATAAAAAAGTTTTTTTTTGTAGGCCTCTGTGATTTATTTCGTTTACTGAAGCCATATATACAATTTTGCATTACACTTATGACCATTACACTGTTCACATTTTGCTCGTTTTTCGCTTATAAAATGAAAACTGTTATACTTATATCGACGGGGATGGTCTCATTCGAAAGAGAATCCAAAAATACATTAAATTTCATACCGATATAAAATTCAAAATATTTTCTAACCATTTTCAAGGCGTTACATTGTTGACAGAAATTCAATTACGAAAGTGTCTCGGCTTTTTCTGCCTCCATGACAAACGAGCAAAGTTATACTTACATCGTTTTCGTTTTTTTCATACACTTCGTTGTTGTGTTCTGCTGCTTATGCGATGGTAAAGAAATTTTTTTGCTCATAAGGTAATTTAAATAGCAGGTAAAAGTAGGAAATTCTGCCGACAAAACGTAAAAATACAAAAGTATAAGGGACACGTCATTTTCATTTTCCGGAAATTGTATAAAATAAAGTTTAATTACCTACACTTGATTTTCCTTAAATATAGAACTAATACTTCACGAAAAATTTTTTTAAATGTGTATGCGGATATTTGAGCAAAATGGAGAATATTGAAATAAATTGAATTAGTGATGTCGATGATTCAATCGACAACCGTAATATAAGTACCGGTTCAAGTAAATGGAATGTAAGTGATTTTGTAACTATTCCTAGAAATGCGGATAATAATTGAATTGGGGTTAATGGGGATAATAATCGAATAAAATATATCCCATTTAGACATGCCTTGGAAATTTTACCTAAAGAGTTGAATGGGCAAAATATGCGTGTATCACGGTTTATTAAAATCTGTCAGTCCGTTGAAAGGTCTATTTCTCCTGAGGAACAACACAACTTATTGATGGTTATTAGATCTCGCGTAGTAGACCATGTAAATTATTGTTTGGAAACCCGTGAAATTAACAATTTAAATGATTTACTAGAATTATTGAAATTAAATTTTACAGATCATAAAAATTTGGGGCAATTGAATTCTTTATTAGCAACAATTGCCCAGCAATCAAATGAGTCAGTAAATGATTATAGTAAGAGAGTTAATACCATATTAAATCAAATTGTCGAAGCCATTGATGACAGAAATTCTCCAGAAGTTGCATTAGGGATGAAAAGTGCTGTTACAGAAAATACTCGAGAAAGCTTTGTATTAGGACTATAGTCAGAACTATCATTACGTGTAAGATTAGGGTGTCCAGTAGATCTTCATAAAGCTATAAAACTAGCTAGGGAAGCTGAGTGGGAATTAAATTTTTTAAATCATTAAGAAGAGAAAATTTGACAGATTTAGAAATCTTTTCAAATAATAAAAGGGGTGCGAAGTATTCAAAAATGCAATATAATGAAAGATTTAAGGAAAATCCGCGAGTAAGATTTATAGAAAAAGAATCAATAAATAATAAAAAACGATCCCATCAAGATAGTAATCAGGATAAAAATAGGAATGTTAATTCTCGAGGTAAATTTATAAAAAGGGAACCAAAAGAATATGATAAATCTATTCAGTGTTATAAATGCGGTAAAGAAGATCATGTTAGAAAAGATTGTAGGAATTCAAAATTTTGTTTTAATTGTAATAAACCGGGTCATGTTAAAGAAAATTGTAAAAAAGTAATTAGTTGTTTTAATTGTGTCAAGGAAGGACATCATAAAATTAACTGTCCAGAATTTCCAAATAATAAACCCGAGGAGAGACAATGTACAAAGTGCAATATGATGGGGCATATAGCTGAAAAATGTTGGGAAATGTGCGGTTATTGCAAAAGACGAGGGCGTAAATATGAAAATTGTTTTGCGCAACAAAAAGAAATAAAAAATGGTCAGGAACTAAAAGAAGAATTTTCAAAAATCATTTAATAGATTCAACATAGGGGTTCAATATTGAATCTGTTAAAAAAGATAAGGCACTCACTAAGCGTATAGTAATGATGGTGCAATACATGGAAAATATAAAGTCACCGGAAATAGAAATCTATAATGAAAATTTTAAAAACGAAGAAGTAACATTAGTAGTAGATACAGGTGCCGAATTAAATTTAATAAAAGTTAATACTTTAAAGCAATATTTAATAATAAACAAAAAGGAAAGATGCCAATTATTTGGAATAGGTAGTAATTGAATAACTACAATCGGATCAGTAGAAATTTTAACTGTAAATAAAAGAACAGTGATTAAATTAAAAAGACGATCAAAACAATTTATTAAATTACCAGTAATAAATAATGAGTTAAAAACAGGATACTTACCATTAATACCCACCGAATCTGGAATATATTTAGGAGAAGCATTAGTTTCAGTGAATGAAGAAATGGCACGAGTATTTACTACAAATACTACTAATCAGGAAGTAGAAATTACAATACCCCCAGTAGAGTTATTAGATTATACTGAAGTGGAACTTGGCAAAAGGGCGCAAAAAAAAATGAAACAGATGAAAAAAGAATTGAAAAATTAAAGGAAATGTTAGAAATTAATAACTTAAAAAAAGAAGAACAAGAATATTTATTAAAATCTATTAGAAATTATCCATATCAATTACATATTCCAGGAGATAAATTAGGTTGTACAAAAGATATTTAACATACAATAGAAACGACTGATAACAATCCACTAAACAGTAAATATCTACGATACCCACCTGTTCATAAAGAAGAAATTAAAAAACAAACAACTGATTTACTTAAACATGAGTCGATACCCACCTGTTCATAAAGAAGAAATTAAAAAACAAACAACTGATTTACTTAAACATGAGTCGATATCACTCTCAAAATCTGGATATAACTCACCTGTATAGATTGTTCCAAAAAATTCTCAAGGAAACAAGCGCTGGCGTATGGTAATAGGTTATCGAAAATGGAACGAGAAGACAATATCAGACTCATATCCACTACCTAACATCACAGATATTTTAGATCAGCTTGGAGGAGCTAAATATTTTACTATTTTGGATTTAGCACAATGATTTCATCAAGTAGAGGTTGAGCCTAAGGATAGATATAAAACAACCTTTTCTACACCTTTTGGTCATTATGAATTTAACAGAATGCCTTTCGGATTAAAAAATAGCGCTTCTATCTTTCAAAGATTAATGGATAGGGTATTATCAGGAATGCAAGGGATAGAATTATTTGTTTATATGGACGATATAGTGATATATGTAAATTCATTAAAAGAACACAAGGAAAAATTTGAAAAATTATTAGGTACACTAAAAACAGCAGAATTGGTTTTACAACCAGATAAATGTAAATTCTTGTGCAAGGAAATAGGTTACTTGGGTCATGTAATTTCGGAAAATGGAGTTAAACCTGATCCTGCGGAATTAGAAGCAGCACAAAAATTTCCACAACCAAAAAACAGAAAGAATGTAAAACAATATCTTGGATTAGTGAGTTATTATAGACGTTTTATTCAGAATTTTTCTAAAATTACAAAACCTTTAACAAACTTATTAAAGAAAAAAAATAATTTTAATTGGGATTCTGAAGAAGAAGTAGCCTTTATTAAGTTGAAACAGAAGTTGTGTACGCAACCTTTATTGCAGTACCCAGACTTCGATAAACAGTTCATTTTGACTACCGACGCTTCAGATTTTGCGATCGGTGCAGTTTTGAGTCAAGGAGAAATTGGAAAAGATTTACCGATCTTTTACGCATCCAGAACCTTGAGTGGGGGAGAATTACATTATACTACTACAGAGAAAGAACTGTTAGCAATTGTGTTTGCAGTAAAACATTTTCGACTGTATCTTTATGGAATGAAGTTTAAAGTAGTAACGGATCATAAAGCATTGGTTTGATTATATCAGTTGAATAGTCGGATCGACTATTAGTTCAAGATTAGCAAGATGGAAAATAAAGTTAGAAGAATTTGATTATGAAATTGTTTATAGACCGGGATGGGTAAATTCTAATGCTGATGCTCTCTCTCGAAATCCTATTTCTGAAAATAAAGTCCTTGTAACAAAAAGATTTGATAAGGTTTGTGAGAACAAAGGAGAGGAGTATTCTCCATATATGATATATGATGAATATCCTATAGAAAGACTTTTTATGGGATATAGATGTTTTGAGCTTGACGAGTGTTGCAGGGGCAAACTGGGTTGGACCCGCCAGATCGGGTTAATCCTAGGCATTCCGACGGACTCGTTGAGGATTGTGTATTATTTGACAAATGTTGCGGGGGCAATGCGGGGTGGACCTTGATCAAGTTCGCCCTGGGAATTCCGACGGATTTGTCAATACATGTGTTGATTGTAGTGGACACGGACATTTGTGTGGTAAAATTGGGTACCCAAATGATGAATGTACTTGTTCGCGTAAAGAGAACAAGGTTGAAATTGACAAAGAAAATGAGGAAAATCCATGGTTGAGCGTAAAAACAGAAAATTTAATTTTAACAAGAAATTCAAAGATTGTAGACTATGATGATTCAGATGAATCGGATGGTAGTATGATTTTGGAAACTAGGAAAAAGGAAATTTTCAAGATAAATAAGGGTTTCAAGAGAGAAGCGCGAATATTAATTGGTAATGATGATTAATTGGTAATTGAAGATATTAATGATACAGATGAACTAATTCAAAAGTCAAAAAAAGATTATGGATGCGTGAGGATCATATTTTAAATTTCATGAGTTGTGATATTGTAGTTAAAAATCAGCAAGACATTCAATTATTAAATTTAGAATTGTTGGATTTACAAAATTTGATATATTTAAAACCAAAATTAGGTCAAGTAATGAGAACAAATAATGGTAATCATTATATTTTTCATTTATTCATAAAAGAGTTATTTATTTATAGATTTACAATGGAAGGATATAAATTTACAATAGAAACTTAAAAAAATGCATTTATTCATGATGGGCTTCGAAAATTTAGTTTATCTAGGGATGGAAATGGTTTTAATAAAGTTTTATGGAGTAATATTGAAAAAATATTAAGAGATAATTTTCAAGATGGGGATTATAAAATTACTGTTTGCACAGGACAAATAGAGATCCCTTGTAAAAAAAGTGAGACTATCAATAATAGAGGAATGTCACGATAGTGTTACAGGAGGACATAAAGGGGAAACCAAAACCCTTGCACGAATAAAGGAAAGGTACTTTTGGACAGGAATAAGAAAAGATATTCAAAATTATATTAAAACATGTGCATCTTGTCAAAGGAAAAAATTAGTAAGAGTAAAAAGTAAGCAACCAATGAAAATTACAGATACACCAATTAGAAATTTAGAGAAAATACAAATGGATATTGTTGGACCCCTACCAAGAAGAAAATTAGGAAACAAATATATCTTGACTTAGCAGGATTGTTTGAGTAAATATTCAGGAGCAATTCCACTATCCAGTGTAGGTACTCCCTCAATTGCAATTGCTTTTGTAGACAATTTTATTTGTGTGTTTGGTTGTCCAGAATCTATCCAAACTGATCATGAGTGAATTGATGGAAAATATTGCGAAATTGTTTAAGATAAAACAATATAAATCGACTGCCTATCATCCACAATCATTGGGAGCATTGGAACGAAGTCATCACACATTTATTAAATACCTTAGACATTATTGCGAAAAGGATAATTGGGATTTATGGTTACAATCTTCAATATTTTCCTTTAACGTTCATGAATCAACTGGTGGTACACCGCATGAAATGATTTTTGGTAAAAATGCCAGGATTCCATCTGAATTCTCTGAAAAACAAATCCCAATGACTTATGCATGTTTTGTTAATGAATTATTAAAACAAATATCTAAAACGGAAAGAACAGTAATTACAAGATTAATAGCAGCAAAGCAAAGATGTAAGAAATATTATGACCAAAAACTAAATGAACAAAATTTTGTAGAAGGATAATAAGTTTATTTAATAAAAGAATCCCGAGAAAATAAATTTGAAGATCATTACCTTGATCCATTTAAAGTAACTAGAATTATTAAATGATTTAAATATAGAAATAGAAGTTAATGCTAAAGAAAAGAAAATAGTGCATGTAAATCGTGTTAAACATGCTTTTATTAGATTATAATAAATTCAAAAGAAGAATAAATAATTAATTTGCACCTTAAATTTAAAATTACATATGGCGGAACAAAGGGTAGAGAAATAAAAGATCTTTAGCTAATTTGCTTTTAAAATTAATATATATATATATATATATATATATAAATTTATATGCGAAATAGTAAACTATGAATAATAATATGGTTGAATGATTTATTTTAATTGTGAAAATACATAAAATCATTTTAGGGATAATTTTGTTTAAATTTTGCATATTCTAATTGAAATTGTGTGTGACCTTTAAGTTGTCTTATGATTAAAGCGCTTGGACACCTCACAAATTCTGAGTATCCTCGGAATTTGTTAAAAGTTTCACTAACTTTGATTGGCTTTGTTCATAGAGAATTTCGAAATTTTCCTATCTTTTGAAAATTCTCCATGAGCAAGGCCAATCAAAATTAGTATAACTTTTGAAAAATTTCGAGTATACTTAGAATTTGTGAGGTGTACAACCGGCTTTAAGTTCCAACGCTGTATTTGCGTCAAGCAGTGAGAGGAATAAAGAGAAACATATACTTTAACTTTATTACGTCATCTGACCGTATTTTCGTTATACGGATGTTGATATGTAGTGTTACGCAGTCCCGCGTATTTCGAGTATTTTCCTGTATAATACTGTGTATAATACTATAATATTTATTAATATGCGTGTAGCACGTATAACCTCCGACCCACTACTTCTTATTTTTAAAATATTCTTGTACGCTGTAATGGACCGGTCACACCTCGCCTGCAGGAGCAGTTGCCAATGGCAACCGTGTAAGAGTAAGAGAGGTGGAAAATCTTCTATCTCTCTTACTCTTACACGGTTGCCATTGGCAACTGCTCCTGCAGGCGAGGTGTGACCGCTCCATGAGCGTATTGTACTGTACAAAACCGTGTGTAATGCTTTACGTATTATGCGTTCCCATCCTTGTTAATGTGTCACATTTGAAATGTCACAAGAATGTGCATATGATAACACCTTAAGGAAAGGCTCACATAAAATTGCCTGGGCACATCTAATACTCTTCTACTTAGTTAATGATTATCTGTCAAAATCTAAAACACAAAAGACGTACACTGAGAAAACTGTTTGGTATCATGTATCAAAGTTTGGTTTTCCCTACCAAATTTTTTATTTGATATATGTGCAACTAAACCGTTTGGTTGGGAGTACTAAATTTTTTTGTCCAACCGTTAAATTTCGCTCAATTTAATTATTTAGTAGGTGTAACCAAATAATTTAGTCTACGTTATAAATACATTTATTAGAATGAAAAAAAATGTTCTGTTGACGTAAATAAAATTTAGTTATTTCAATTTACTGTTTTCGTTGATTAAAAAAAATTTTTTTGTAGAAATAACTAAATAATTTATTTTATCTAAAATAGTTTCTTTGGTCATTTTTACGATTTTGCATAAAAAATAAGGTATTTTAATTCAAGAGAGATGAGATTAATAATATAACTTTATTAAATTCATTATGCTTAGACATTACAAAAATAATTTATCTTCCCGTAAGTACACACTACGCGCGTTTCATGAAATATCTCAAAATGATATCGCATAAAATTGAGGAGCAAGTTTTCAAACGTTGATACATAAATCCATTTTCCAAAAAAATTTAAATAAATACTGA